ATATATATATATATATATATATATATATATATATATATATATATATATATATATATATATATATATATATATATATATATATATATATATATATATATATATGTATTGTAAGTGCAAACACACAATTATAGTATTTCCAAATTTACGTGTTTGAGATACGTGAAGGTGATGTATGCAGCTTTTTCAATCAATCAAACACTTCTAGCTTATACGAATGAGAAATTCGTCGTTGTATTAGGGCAAACAACCATACAAATAGTGTTATTGGTGAATTGCGGGCCGAAGAGCTAATTTAGACCGTCAAGTATCCAAAATACCTGAGGCATAGGACCTTAATACAGACGCCATTCTCACGGTATTAGGTGCCAAAGGTGCCCCAAGAGTCCTTCGGACTTGCTGTGATAATAGACCGTACATGACTTAGGTAGGTGGTGTGTGTGGTTATGAGGTGTGTATGTCGAATACCTGTGCTCGATGTTCTGTTTAAATACACAATACACATATATAGAAAAGAGTCGTAAACAAAGCGAAAATTGGGAAAAGCCGCCATTTGTCAAATGTCACATTGTGGGGCGGGTGCCGCGGCGCCCGCGCCAAAGCGCATCTAGATATCTAGACACTTAAAAAAGTGTCACAAAATAATCTGACATGTTGCAACTGTCTTCTACAGCAGCAAAGGTCACACAGGGTTGTGGTACATTTTGTATGTCTCATATCTATTAAATTATATGTATTGTATATATCGCTTTTATACCTAATACAAATCTCTTCATAGCTCAGCATAGCTCAGTATTCTGACCTCCTATAACATCCTGACCTCATGGATGTTGTCGATCAGTGGGTATCTATCTGTAATTGGTACACAGAGAGAGGGTACATGACCAGTAGGAGTGTAATAGTCATAATCAAGGATATGAGTTCATTTCCCACCGAATATGTTCGTTATCACAGCGTCAATTTCATGGTTACATCGATGGAATAAACCGCCACACGTAAGTAGTGAACACTTAGAAATTTTTATTCTTCCTAAGGTGCCAATATATTCATCCATGTACACATGCGTAAATTTATGTGACGGTCCATACTATTGGATATATTGCATTCAGGGCCTCACATCAACAAAGGTTCAGTTTAGAAATGTCTTTCTTCACATGTTTCAATCAATCTGAACTTTTGTGTTATCGATCAAAACTGTTTACAAAGTATATTATTATTTATAGTAAGCTCATCGTGAGTCAGCAACTTCAACGAAATATGGTTAAATCCCTTCCAATGCATATGTGACACCTTCGGGTACTGGATCAGATTGCGTCGTCTGGTCGAGACTTTACCAACGAATCCCCTGATCTTGCGCATGTACAAGACATCGGAGATTAGTTTGTACCTATCGGCGTATGGAAGATTGCGATATCTTCACGAATTTCTGAACAACTGTACAGAGTCTTGCACTTCCAAGACCAAGTCGAGCGTCTATTCAAACAATTTTTGTAGTATTTTAAAAGCATTTGACTGAGGTTGCGAGAAGTGCCGTCTCAAATTGTCAATATACAAAAAGGAATCAATTCACGCGCGTTAGCGAAATCGCTGCTAAAAAAGGGCTATCCAGCTTTATTGCACGACTTCCGCTAAAACCTGCATCACTGTATTCGATCTCGTATCTCGACCGTCAACAGTTGCTGCCCTTTAGCTCTGGATCTCATACATAGGGAGATACCGAAGAATTCATGGTGGCAGTAAACCTGACTGCCTACACATGCAAAAGCTGGTAACATATCTAATATTTAATATTTGATTCTATCGTCATTTGAGTATCACTAGGCGTGCAGGGTAGAATAATTAAGTAAAGTCCCAAGCGTTTGACGATACAACATGGAGAATACATATCGAATGATTCCCCCTTCGACGCAAGGATCACTCTGCCAAAAGTGCAAGCTATATGCCTTCCAGCGCAGAAGGCGTATATAGTACTTTCGTAGTCTCATATATCCCACACGCCTCTATATACATAACGTATACGCCAAGCCTACTCCATGTCTCCCACCGCCCACTTTCATTGATGCCGACTCTCTTAGCTCTCCAGGGGTTTGGCGGGCAAGACTAAGCCGCTGGCCTCGCCAAATCCGATACGGTATCCCTCACCCTGACAGTAACCTCGGACAGTCACTTCATCACCGTCGGCAATGAACTTCCTTGTCTCTCCGTTTCCGATGTCTACAGTCTTAGATCCCTTCCATGACTGTTCCAACATGGATCCGAAGGATTCGGGGTTGGGACCTGAGATGGTACCGGAACCTAGAAGATCTCCGGGCCTCATGTTACATCCACTGACGGAGTGGTGGGCTAATTGCTGCTTCATGGTCCAGTACATGTACTTGAAGTTGGACTCACAAACAGTCTGTGGTGGAATATCAAAAAGAAGGTCCAATGTGAGAATGCCTTCAAGATCAGCTGTGACAATACCCGATTAAACAGTTGATTGTACCAAAACCTATGAGGCGAGTGAATCCAAAGATCAATTACAACCTTAAATTGACTGGTTGGGGTTTAGGGTTTATATCATTAAGCAACATTTTAAAAGAATTGATTGCGAACTCTTAAAAGCATTTAAATAGGCCAATGCACTTAGTGGGTACACGTGCGAAGAAAAGAATGCACTGATAAGGAGCATATTCGAACAAACAAATAACAAAGCATTCGAATTGGCCAATGTATCTAGTGGGTACACAGGCAAAGAAATGCTTGCACTGATAAGGAGCATAACAAAAACAAAACAAACAACGCATTTGTAACCTTTCTATTTTCAATTACACTAATAAGAATGATTTTTTTTACGATAGCCGGAGGTAAACATACCTTCTCAGTCGTCTCAGACTTGATATCGACGAACAGCTTCATATCGAATGTGTAAGGGTCATCGTGCTGCAGGTATGGCAAAGGTTTAGGTTCGCTCTGATCCCAGTTGGCCAGCTTGAAGTCTTCAAGGGCATCCATAGTCACCACCCATGGTGAAATTGTACTGGCAAAGTTCTTTGCAAGGAATGGGCCGAGGGGAATGTACTCCCACTTCTGGATGTCTCGGGCACTCCAATCGTTCATCAAGACCATACCAAAGATGTGATCCTGCGCCTCAGCAATAGGGATGGGTTCTCCAAGCTTGTTTCCAGGGCCTACGAAAAAGGCAGTCTCAAGCTCGAAATCCAACAAACGGCACGGACCGTACACAGGGGGTTTAGTCTCATCTGCCTTGGTTTGTCCACAGGGTCTGCGTACAGGTGTACCAGACACGACTACGGAGGAAGCACGGCCGTGGTAGCCTACAGGTAGATGCAACCAGTTGGGCATGAGCGCGTTGTCTTTGCCACGGAACATGATACCCACGTTGGTGGCGTGATCTCGCGACGAGTAGAAGTCTGTGTAGTCACCGATTTGGGCGGGTAACACCATCTCAACGTCGGAAATTGCAACGAAAGCGCTCTCGCGTAGCGTCTTGTCGTCGCGAAGTACGGGCTCGTTAGCGGAGAGAATGCGCTGCAGAGTGGACCGAACTTCCTTCCAGGCTGGGCGACCTAGACCCATGAATTTGTTAAGACTCCCTTCGTCGAAAACCCGCTGGTTGGCGGCCATAGCGGGTCCGTCGAAGAAGTGCTTTACCTGTAATGTTTAAATATGTTGTTAGTAAGTTTACTAAATGTATATAAAATATAGCATACGTATATTGTATGGTCGTGCATGTAAATTATAGCATACGTACATTGTGTGATCGTGGACTGACTCAAGGGGCATTGTTTCGCTGTACGGCAACGTATTTAATGCAGTTGAGCCAGCACTTAATACACATAGTGGCGTGGCGTACCACTAAATGCACTACCACGTGTGTAATGATATCAGCGAAGTCTCTGAACAGCGTAAGAATACAGATCCATAGCATCAACTTCCATTCGTGTGATCATATTCTCGTTCGATTTGAAAACAACTTATATTGGCTGGAGGACGGGTTACATAGTCGTATAAAAATGTAATACAACACAAGAATTTTCGATTAAGCCCGAGAATTGATAGGTAAATAAAATTTCAATCTATGTTTCAATTCCCTTTAGAGGGAGACAACGACCATACACTGATACAACTTTCCAAAAAATCGAGGAGATCGCGTGTCAACACTCGGTAGTCGATCACTTGAAAACCAAATACAAACAAAATCTATGTCAAGCTGAAAGACTGACTATCATGCTGTACAGCAGAGGTTGTAAATGAAACAAACGTAAACAAATATAACATTCGAATTTCGACTGGGACAGCTATGCAACAAAGTATAACTTCAATATCTATGGACCAAATTTCAGCTCGGACACAGATGGTACATATGACTCACCTGAGACAGATCTAGGACTTGGTCTCCGATAGCAACACCGATACGGGTGCTACCATTGTGCTTGAACACACCATACGGCAAGTTCTGGATGGGGAACTGACAGTCCTCACTGTAGGTAATAAAGGATGTGCTGTTTTGTACCATCTTGCTTGAGTAGTGTACCTAGACTTGTCGATAACTGTGTATATATTTATGTATAAAAGTATGGTCTGATGTGATGTTACAGTCGCTTTAATTACTTTATATACATAAATATATGTCTGCATTTACACTATTCGTAAATAAAATGTACGCGTAGAAAGCATTCAAGCGACTCGAACGCAACGTTTCGCCAACGTAATTGAGCAGCGCTTGCTTTCATAGAGGTTGCGAAAACAACGCTTCAGTAAATAACGTAAGCAACGCGATATGATTGGTCGGTCATAATCTCCGGCTTTTCCAATCTGAGAGACTTAACTCTGATGAGAGTGATGAAGAGACTCTGAGTCCCGAGAGACTGAGACTTTGAGAGAAATTCTCAATATTTATATTCTTCGAGTACAATAGTCATAGAGTCATAGTCTCATAGATGTATAAACATAAATAGATTTTGGCGCGAAAGCATCAGCCCGCGGCGCCACGGCGCCCCACGCCCACGGGGCAAAGGGAGCTCGCTTCTCTCTATTTACTAGTGGTTGAGGGAAGTCGATTTTTTCCCCCTAAATTCACAATATTTATCCGGTTTTGGATATAATCATAGCCTTCTAGAATATTTACATGAATAAATAATTTTGCGAAGGGTCCATAGTTGATAGCTCTATTGGTCCATGTGTACAATTTAGGAGGCAATGGTTCATGCAGTTAAATATGTATCGTATACATCGATTTATGAACAGGGTTGTGAACTTTTCGACCATGCCAACTCTTAGATTTTCAGGTCGCGTATTAACAGTTTGGACCTTCTAAGGGTTCGCATGCATTATTAGTTCAGAACTCACTATTGTGGTATTGAGGGCTTATTATACTGACTTAAAATAACCATTCGCGTGCATGCATGTCAATCAATGACATCCATTTGGTGTGCGTATTCAATTATATGGCTTCGTTATGATTTCAGACCTTTGCATACATACATACATAGACACAGACACAGACACAGACACAGACACACACACACATATATATATATATATATAGACATACACGTACATATATACATAAGTATATATATATATACATACATACATATATATATATATATATATATGAATATCTATATATACACATGTATATATATATGCATACATATATATGAAAAGCATACATACATACATACACACACACACACCACACAGACAGACATGTTTATATTTATATATATATATATATATATACATTTGCATATATACATATGTATATCTATATACATACATACGTATACACACACACGTGTACACACACAATGTGTACACACACTACACACACATACACACACACACACATACAATGTTTACATACAATGTGTACACACACACACACACACACACACACACACACACTATATATATATATATATATATATATCACCTAATGGAATTCTCTTAACGTCAACAAATTATCACGATTGTTGATTTTATGTCTTTATAATATTATGAGCTACAGTGCAATATTCAACTGAAAAATACTGCCTGTCGCGAAGAGGAAAGCAATACATGCTACATTTAAGCAGATACCAGCTACAATAATCTACTTTCCCTGTTAATAGCTAAGGGTGAAACGTGAGATGCTGATTCAGCCGTAGAGGAAAGAAGGAACACTTCACACGCACAAAGTCTGTCCGCTGTTGAATGGGTATGTACTTCCCCTATCCGGTTATGATGGTGTTTTTTCAACCATTGATTCATCAACAACACTAGTTTTCATTATCGTTCAGCCACAGCCTTTAGGAAACATTTAATCTTCAGAAGCCTAGGGTTCAGCACCATGACAGAGATGAAGCAAAGTACGTTAATGAGGATCAATCCACCGACCGCCACCTCATGAAGGGCCCCTGCGCCCTGCGGGGATTTTTTCTTGCATATGTATCAAACACATAGTTTTTTCTTCTAAAACAAAGAGGGGTATTCAGAAACCGGTTTCTTCCATCATATTTATTAGCCAACTGAAGAATCAAGAAACATTCAGCTATGGATTTTTGTTTTTGTTTTTCTATAATATATTATATATTATATATGAAAACCCAATTATTTCATATGTGTATTTTATTAAAAATACGTATTTACTTTATTATACTTTTATAATTGTCCTACGGACGTTAGTCCGTTCAACCATATTTTCTTTCTTCTCTAAAGAGAGGTCATGTATAATTATATTATATTTACATATTTACGTTTAATTTGATTTGACTATATAATAATATGAATTTGTTTTTAATTCTAAAATGTTGTTTTTAGTAGACATAATAATAATAATAAAAATAAAAGATATTTTGATCAATACCCCCTCGGAAATAATGTTTATCGGATTGGGCGGATGGCATTGAGTCCGGCAATGTTTATTTATATCAGCACTCAGCAGTCAGCAATTCAGCACTCAGTGACTCAGGTCGTCCCTCAGAGGCTGGAGTCTCATCAGTCATCAGTAAATACACAGGGGGGTGTGGACTGTGGGTGCGTGGCGCGGCTGTCAATATTTTTAATTTTATATTTATATGTATCAGGCTCGACTGAAGAGGCTGATTTGCATAACCTTCTGAAAATTGAACAGGTTTTGGGGGAGCTATGGCGGTGTATGCATTAGAAACTACGATACATTATTACTATTATTTTTATTCAAACAACCCAAGACAGTGAAACCCTGCCGTGCCTTGCTCAGAGCTATCATGTGATACGGATGACGATAACCAAATAACCATTGCTGCTTCTTGTATTGTGAGACTGTGACAGTACATTCGATGTGCCATCCCCGTCCATGGACGATGGTTTAGCTAGTTGTACATATTTGCATATAAATATGTACTAGTTTATTGTTTGCTTGGGTTACTTTTTAATAGTTTAGCTTGAGAAGAGTACTAGAGAAGTTAACTAGATATTTGCATCATGATGGCAACTTTGTTCTACCCCGCAAGAGCCGTTGAAAGGCTCATTAACGTGGTTCGTATTATTTTCGGCACGTTTATCCTGCCCTATCTGACTGTATTCCTACCATGGGATAATACATTCCGAAAAGACCGATCCACCCATTTTATTTTCATCACCGGGTGTGATTCTGGGTTCGGATATATGCTTTCAAAATCTATGGATAAGAAGGGCTTCTCCGGTAAGTTCATTATTAGGTGTGGAGATGTATATGAGTTACATGTGGTTGTTGATCTTTTGGTTGTGTGTAAATGTATCCGAAATTAAATTCACGCAAACACCATTTTTGTATTTGTAATTTACGCATAAAGATTTGAATCGTGTAAGAAACAAGTATTTACCTTAAATGTATATATACTCGTGACTGCGATTGGTAGGGGGAAGCACAATAGTACGTATCGAACACAGTCTGTTATATTTACAGATTGTACAAAGACTGTACGGCTACTACCCTTCACTAAACACTTCCGCTGTTTTACAATTTTACAGTGATCGCAACATGCCTGACTGATAAAGGAGCTCAGAAGCTGAAATCTGAGACCTCCGATCGGTTGCGCACAATGGTCTTTGATATGACGAATGAGAAGCAGTTGGATGAAGCAGTCGAGAACACCAAGGCTATCTGTGGCAACTACGGTAGGCAATGGGACAGGCATATTCAGTCTATCGAGAGCGTGCACTATGTATTCTGCGGTGGCTGTTGCTCCTGCGGCGTATATCTTTTGCACACGGTTCTGCGTTGCGCAACTAGTGCTTACAAATTGCAATTTAGGGGCTATATTGTATTTAGGTGTATTAGGGTAAAACCACTTGTGCACAACTTCCTTCAGAGCTCATTCCAGCATTTTTAGACTATTGAGGTGACCTTACCGATGAGGCGTGAGTATCCTGTAGTATTCCCAAACATCTTATTCAACTCGGAATATGCTTATGGCTTAGATTTCAAGTGTCACGATGTGCGCCATCTCTGTTCGGCCGCCGTGTCTATCTTAAAGTGAATAGCGTAAAACAAGTGATTGAAACTATTCTCATGCATTGCTCCTTGGGGTTGTTATCGTTGCAGGTTTGTATTGTCTTGTCAATAACGCCGGCGTCGCCGATGAAGCCCCTTTCGAGTTCCAGGATATGGCCGCGTTCCGTAGAGTGATGGAGATTAATTACTTTGCCATGGTTGCGGCCACTAAGGGTCTAATGCCTCTGCTGCGCAAGTCTGGACAGTCGTCATCAGGCGCCAGGTAAGCATAAAGAACCCACTTTAATTTAGTATTACCCGTGGAGCTATATATTGGTATATGCAAAGCCTCCGAACTGTTGTGAACTGTGTTAGCTTACGAGAGCACTGCGAAATCAGATAACTCGTATTGTGCTCGTATCTAGAAAGCAATCGTGCATTGGTAAGACCAATAACCGTTGTGCGAATATATATTGCTTGTATCGAAGGTTCGTTGCAGTCTGTTGTTTACTACACCTCCGCGTCCAAGAACCGGATGTTGGTAGACAATAAACACTCTTGTTGCAGGATCAAATCTAGTGACATCGCCTATTTGGTATAAAAGTTAGTCGAGCGATATAAAGATGAGCTTTTAATTGTTGTCAGGACAAGCTGCATTTTATCTTTTAAATTCAACTGAGTTCAAACTATTCGCACATGGGAATTTTCAATATCACCTCATAGGGTTATCAACGTGGCCAGTTGTGCCGGTCGTTCTTCGGCGCCTGCAATGGCGGCTTACACTTCTAGCAAGTTCGCCGTTGAGGCATTCTCGGATTCCTTACGTCGCGAATTCTGGTCCTTCAACGTGCACGTGTCTGTCGTCGAACCAGGTAATTACTTGCGGTTAAACACATGTAGACATGTATGTGAATGCATGGAAACAGAATATGTATAGTACATACAAGCACATAGAATGCAGATATTTTTGATGTATGCGTTTGTTTAATCAGATATGTAAATGGATAATCATATTTTATACATTAACATACTTGAACAATTGTGCCAGTGGTGTATTCATGTGGCATATCAGATGCGTATATATTATATCCACCGCTAGGTGTTTCTGGACGAACTGATAGCTTTGAATATCTTTAGCTAACTCAGCCATACATAATGGAAATACGTGTACGAAATTCGAAAATGCATGTTTATGAACGTACACACACACCCGATTATAAACATTTGCAACTTATTTTGAAGTGGGGGCCTAACCTACTTCCATGATTCTGTCTCAGGATTTATGCGCACCCCTATTGCTACAACCGTCGATCCTAAGGGAATGATTGCGAGAAAATGGGACAAGGCGAGTAGCGAGGTGCAGAATGCCTATGGATATAAATTCTTTACGAAGTATGTGGGATCGGCCTTTCATTTGTTCAGTGACGAGCTTGTCATGCTTGTCATGCTTGTCATGTCATCTACCTTTTAGTCTGAAATTGGATTCAGTGCTCGTTTTATACGTTGGTGGAGTGAAGTCATATCACATGGGTAAATCTATCGAGTCATTCTGCCTGTGAGGACGAATTGTAAATGCACAGTACCTAAGCTTCTACGAGTTTGATTCCTGTGTGTGAACTTGGAAACATACATCTATGAGTATGTAGAAATATATACAGTTTTCATTTCTGGCTGTACATCGCTTATGTCTTTCTCTGAGATTGTTGTTGCATTGTTAGTCTCTACGTTGTAATTGCACTGGCTTTCATCGGCGGTCATTGAACCGGATAAAGAAAGGATGCTGAATCATCAATTGGTAGGGATGTATATACAAATGTATATCAATTGCAAACACCTAAGTCTGTCATGTATTCTTATGGATATATTTATGTTACGCGTGTAGGATTCTAGAGAACCCTAAACGCTTGCAGGCGATACTGCAAGACCCCCAGATGACGATTGTGCAAATGGAGAAAAACATACTTAAGGTATGTTGCAAACTACTGTGTATAAGTCATATGTTGCAAATTACTGTGTACAAGTCATATGTTGCAAATAACTATGTACAAGTCATATGTTGCAAATTACTATGTACAAGTCATATGTTGCAAATTACTATGTACAAGTCATATGTTGCAAATTACTATGTACAAGTCATATGTTGCAAATTACTATGTACAAGTCATATGTTGCAAATTACTATGTACAAGTCATATGTTGCAAATTACTATGTACAAGTCATAATTATACCTAGAGTCATATCTACGCAGGACATTCCAGTTGGATAGTGACTGCCGTATTTTTCGTTGGCATAATTCCGCACAAGGGAACGTGATTATACCACAGTGTTCCAATGCTGGTATCATACTTTTTCGGCAATACTTTTGAACTGATCAGCGATTGCGAGAAGGTTGTGCTTCGCCTTATGTTTACGTATTGAGATATTCTGAAGTATATGCATGTATAGTCTTGTACACTTATATATTTTGACTGATTTCGCAGGCATACCCGAAGTCGCGCTACTCCGCAGGCTATGACAGTATTTTCTATGTCGCGAGCAGTTACATGCCTGCATTCGTGATCGATGTGATGTGTGGACCATTCCTGCCCAGACCCGATGAAGCTAAATTTGGCAAGTATATGTAAATACAGCCATGTATGTATATATATAGCAGCGCTCAAGTGCACAGCAACGCATTCTGCTTGTGTTTAGTCCATAATCTGAGCCTCTCCGAAGTTCGGAGCGGAAGCCGGATCGCTTATCTATCGTTTAAGGACTAACATAATTTAGGACAATAAAATTACAAACGGGAGTATGGATAGCCAATCTGCTGTCTACAGCAAGTGGGGAAAGCAAACTTTGAGTTAGTAAAAGACTGTCACAAAAATACTATTTGGTACTATTTTGATATTGAAATTGAGAGAAAATCTGTCCATACTGAACTCCACAAGTACACTAATTTAGAGGTTAGTGGTCAGGAATCAAAAGCTATGCACTCAAGTGCCACACGAAGAGTCACATCCTTATCGATTTTTAATTCTTAATGAGAAAGCAGGCAGTACTGACAGCCATATCGCACGATAAACAATTTCGGAACCTTATCTTCACATAGATCTGGAGAAGCAGAGAGCTGCGTATCACAGCAAGACCATAACTTTCGTCGAAATGAGGCACTTTCATGAACATTACTATTTTCTTGGGGGAGTTTGCGGGCGGGCGGATATACGAGGCCTCGTAATCAGTTGAAATATCATCTCGTCCGTTCTGCGGTCAATTGGAATGAACAGATGGACATATATACGACACTTTAATCAAGTATGACAGTATTATTCTTTGAACACGACAGCGGTTATTTAATCGATCAGATGAACACATATTGAGGCCTGATACGCAAGTGTGGGAGTGTTATCCCGTCCACGCAGCGTCTACTTCAAACGAGCTGTGAAAGTATGTGTGAGGTCTGCCTCGCTAGTATCAGAGTGGTATCATAACTGGGCAGCGACATACTTGAACGATACAGCGGCCGTGGTATGGAGTCTTTTTCACTCGCAATTTCGGGTCTGCTGTGCAGTCTATCGGCTCCGATTTAGAGCCCAATTTAGGGCATAGCCGCGAAACAGGCTCTCTGTAGTCGATTCTGACTCACAGTGCAGAGAAAGTCGCCAATGAACCCGAGTTGAGCGACAAGGCCACGCATCAAATCAATACTATTTCCTCCAGGGCGGAAAATATGAAAAATGCGTCACGGCTAAATGCGGGTCCACGTGTCAGGTAGTGAAACGCGTACGTTGTCACAGACTCTGCTACTCACAGACAGAGTAGTCCTTCTGATGGAATGCTCCAGCGAAAGGCCCGAGCAAGTGCACACAAAGAGCAGACAATTTACAAGTGGATTAGGCGCCAAAATGAACTCGGATAGATTGTGCTGCCCAAGCAATATGGCAGTACTATTACTTAGCGATACATTTCTGACTTTTCTTTATCAGTGATGTTCAAAGAGGGTTCAGCTGTATTGCGAAGCCGCTAGCATGCTCAAACTACCAGTGCTTTCGTCGAGGAATACGCGGGTTGCTTTTGTGGTGTTTGATTTAAGATGATGATTCTCACGTCGAATGACACTGATCCACTAGCTGTCTACTTAATTGGAGAAGCTATAAGTATTCCAAAGTACAAATCATTTCCTGATTGGGTTGGGATCGAGTAAACAAGAAACTATGTTGTTTCTGGAAGATGTTGCAATTTACTTTCAATGGACTGGCTTGGAGTTGACAAAGATGTAACGAAAAGCATCACTTCCACATATTGAATGATATGATTGATGCGTGATTGTCCTGTATTGTGTACGGATCTGGTGGTTCAACTTTGCGTTTCGCTGCTCCAAATGCAAAAGAACTTTTCGACAAACTTTATTACCGCTTGCGAAATAGACTTGCTTGGGCGGAGAAGATAAAGGAAGAATTTTTTGCACACTAATATATAGTACTCTGAAACTAAACCATATATAATGTATTCAGACACATACTATGTGAAAGGCAGCTTCAAATAATGAATTCTGAAATTAATATAAGTATATATAATACTATGGATGTATCTAAATAGACACTACACACTTTAGGGAAGACACAATAAAACATTTATTAGGAAATCCTAACTAGATGGGACTGGTTCGGAATGGGGCTGAAACTCGGCATTGATTTGTACAGATCAAGTTTGCGCGTTCGGCATCTATGCGATCAATTTCATGATTTTTCCAATCGCAATCGTTTTTCCTGTTGAGCGAGGACAACAAAGATAATAAATTGAGAGCTTGAGCCAACACGAGCGTTCAACTTGTGATTACCATCACACATACGGACTGTGTGTGACATTTGTGTGCAGCATCATAGCTAATTCTGAAAGAATCCGTTAGTTCTTAATGTGATTTAGTGTACGATTTTTAGTGTTAGAATTTAGGGGTTTAGGCGTTACTCGCTACAAAGCGATTTCACTCTACACAGGAGCTCAGAATGCTATCTCGAGACGTTTAAACAATCCACGACTACATGCATGTGCTACCCTGGTTCTCTCTATCTCCTGGGTTCCAAACAATAACCGAAATAAAAACAAAACTAAGTTAGCACAGCTATACCGAAGGTTAGGTGCACATCAATGTGACACAACATCCAAAGACACACCTTTATCACGTAGGGTGAAGCGACCCATCTGGGGAAGTGTCTTAAACAGCTCCATGCACAGCACACCGGTGGTGCACTCGAGACGTGCGACAATGATCTGGTCTTGCTTGGCGAACCGAGGCTTTTTCTGGTCGATCTTACCCGTCTTACGGTCGATGGTAGCGATGAGAGCCTGTATTTTTGATTTGAAAATTATGTGCGAGAAGTTAACAATCAATCGGGTATGATTGTTGGAGGGATAAGTCCGTGAGAAATGAAGATCTCGGTGTCCCTACGACAAATTAGGTCCCTGGGATGTGCACCTCAAAAATGACAAATGGCTACCGCCTGTTTGTGCGTCAGAAGATAACTTTTTTGACAAGTGTGCATGTATGTATGCGTGTCAAGACTTCCATCGATGTATACGTACACTGATAACTGTAGAAAAATATACACATACATATACACACATATATGCGTATATATATATATATATATATATATATGTATATATATATATATATATGTATATATATATATATACCTTGAAGCGAACCTCCTCGACAGTAGCGTGCACGTGCGCCACACAGTCAAATCCAGCCGCAACAATATGCTCGACATCAAGCAGCACAATCTGTGCATCAAACTCGCTCACTACAGGACACAGAGACTCAGGTGCACACAGCACGTGGCCAATGGTGATGTCGCTCTCCTCCACACCCTTCAGCTTAATGCGGATGTTGGATCCAGCAGAGGCGAAGTCGACCTCGCCTTCGTCATCGTAGATTTCAGTCACTTCCACGTCGATCTGTAGTATGGAATGATACACGAGGGTAGGGTGAATTAGATGAACCAGTTGAGAACATGACGAATGAGATATAGCAAAGAAGACGATGGTGAGATAGATTTGCCAATGCTTACACTAATTCACAAAAGGAGAGCCGGTTACGCTTGTAATATATGCATCCCATATAGTGCCTGCGTGATTGCTTGTTATCACAAAATCGTACTTTCGATTTATATATATATGGAAGTATACAACCAAGGTTCACAGCATATCAAGCAACTAATTTGAATCCCTAAATAACCTAAAGTATGTGCCTATTGATACAAAAATAACGATATGGATCCAAGAAGTTCAATATATTACTAGCCTACAATTCAAAACTAACCAAAACGATCAAATAAATATGTAGAGGGAGGACGAGACAATCCCGCAAACATGTGGTGCGCCCCAACACACCGAACCGACACTACCTACACCGAGCCTCTAACCCTATACCGCCAGGAAACTGATACTTGAGGAGACGACTCTGTCGGCTATTGGCATGTACACCCAAGCAACCTGACACCCATTCCCTCTAAGTAGCGTAACAGTTCCGACCTGTAGGTGTTCTGGGCTTCGTCACGAAGAAGCTTCATGACGGAGCCCCCCCAGGCCTTGACCACCAAACGCCTTCCAGACACCTATCCTCGACTTGTAGGTAATACAAGCCTTACTGAAAACGCTACAAATATAGGCTTCCGGACAGCAGGGCACAATTGGCAAGATGCAGTGAAGCAGTAGCCATAGGGATACAGGCAGACGGATCTAGTTCCATACATACCTTGTTGGGCATCAACACCAGCTTGTCGCCCTTCTCGATCACACCAGACTCGAGCTTGCCCATAACGAGAGTGCCCATATCCTTGAAGCGCTCGTTGATGGGCATGCGCACAAACCACTCGTTCAATCGCTCAATGGAGGGTAGATCGTCGAGATACTGCAGCAGAGGGGGTCCCTTGTAGAAGTCGAACTGGCCTGCGGGAATGGGCTCCTTGATGTTCAGACCGGTCAGACCGGACGCGGGCATGAAGTGCACTGTATATCGTATTATTAAGAGAAAGGGGAGGGCGGGCGGTGAGGTTGTAGAATAGGACATTAACACTGTAACATAACAGCTAGCAATTATAGAATGATTATTTTAATCCGATCGCACGTTAAGAGGATCGTGCGTAGGTGATTTAGATGGATGCTTACTGACGACCTCGTTCTTACGCACGGCTGTACTGACAACAAGCGAAACAAGAATCCACGAACAAGGACGACACAGGCGAACGATAGGGTGGATCGCAACAAATTGCTCAGTACTGAACCTAAAACACATATACAAGGTATAAAAATACACAGTATATATATATATAATTATACAAATATATGCACGTTTATAGCATAGGCTTAGAGTGATGGTGTATCAGTGACTCAGGTTATCTTCCCGCCAGCGGTGCCTGTTACCAGCGACCTCCGACCATCAGAGCGATTCTGAAAACGTAACATCATGTACACAGCGAACTTGACCCTTAAGCTCAACGTCCCTTTTTTTCCAATATACTCTTTCACGTTAATATGATAGAATGCACTTCGACACCAAGTCAGTAGACAAGGAGCTTATCCCACCCATTCAGAGAGCACAAAAATATATTTTAGTGTCGCCGATGAGAAAGCGAATTCGGTATTGAGTTAATATTTGGGACAGAAAGATACCCAGGAAATTTCACAGAATAGAATAACCGTACACACGTGCATCGAGTATATTTATATATATATATATCTGTTTTGTGGTTGATATGTACTTACAGTGTGTGTACGATTGCACAAACGGAGGATAGCCAATATACAACAACCACAGACTAACAATCAACTTTCGGGACACAAGCTGGCAAAATAAACATTCTAAGACAGTGTCCGCACTATTTAACAGTGAAATGTCCCGCTTGAGGCACAAATTATCGAATTGCACACATATGAACATAATGGACATACCCATCTTGGGACTGTATCCACATTTCTTCAGGAACGGTGAGATGTCTCTGCAGATCTGTTTGTAGCGCTCCACATCCCAGCCCACACTGGGGTCGTCCATCTTGTTTACCAATACAACCAGGTGCTTGACACCAGCGGTCTTGGCCAACATTGCATGCTCTCGGGTCTGTAGTCACGCCGGCGATTATGACACGGATTTGGGGGTAAAGTTTTAGGATTACAGGCAAGCAATTGGCATTTACAGGATATGGAGCAGATAGAATGTTATCAACCGGGGCTCTAGCACCATTGTGTGGAGAAAAATGGCCGTCGAAGTCAGCAAACAAATAAGAAACAAAGTCAGAAGGTGGATGTCCGCGTATTGTTCGGTTCTCCATGCAGAAACACTCGGAATCATTCGTCCCAAGTAGAAACACTACATGATGTCATACGTTCCATCAATTAGACTGTAATTGACAACTCATGCGAATAAGTTGCACGTAGAAAATGGCGTTGCGATCAGTCGTCAGAGTATCGGCCTATCTGGAATGCCTGTTACCAGCATCCACAAGAATACGATTAGCGATTCTGATTTGTAGACATCATTTCGGGACTCGACAAAACTATCTCTGTGATCATCCGTCCACCAACTATAAATATATCTTCGCCATCTCTATGCAAGATTATCTATAGCTGAAGGAACGTCTCACCCCATAATAAATATATATATTTTGCTTTTGACAATATACAATTGTTAAAAGAATCCACAAGCTATACAATAGTTTGAAGTATCCACAAGTGTATATACGGCCTCTGCAGGTTTACAGCGTAACTTCTAAGATAGGCCTTAAATACCTGCAGTGTCATCTATTGTACAACGTCAGCACATGGGCACAAAGTTTGACTTAATAGATACATATAGTGAACTTCTACAGTTATCGAAACTTGCTAGACAACTTTTAAGACTGATACAAGATATACCCAGCCTACCGACACACCTGCCCACTACGGTCAAAACCAGCCTCGAACTCTCCTTTTCGCGCAGACACGACCAGAATAGCAATATCGGCCTGAGCAGCACCGCTGATCATATTTGGCACAAAACTTTTGTGGCCGGGAGCATCCAACACAGTGAACTTTTTCTTCTCGGTCATAAAATTGGCGCGTCCGACTTCAACAGTTTTACCTACAGTGACATGAGATTTCAGAGTGTGAGCTATGGAGTTTGGAAAATGGACGTGCAAGCGTATGTGGATACCGCCGATGGAGAAGCTGGGCAATGCTGCCACCGTACAAATGATTTTGTCTAAGGGCAATTGAGCTACGAGAAGACACAGTATCGTATAGTATAGAAGTAACTTTAATACCGAGATAAACTATCATACATCACCTAGAACGCTTCTCCACTAGTTCGACCAAGAGTAAGGTAAAGAGCTGCAAGCCACTATGAAGCAATATAGTTGCAAGTAAAGGGCGATCTACGATACACGGACACGAAGAAAAATTAAAATAAAAATAAATTGTAGACAAATAGTACCAGTATTGGTTTGAAGTATAGAATATCCCTAAATCGCGGCTTCGGGTGAATTCATTGGATCTCGTACAGATGGAAAAACGGATCATGCAGATATAGTACTCTCTCCAACCTCGTAGAATACTTGAGGGGTTGAACGTGGTGGAATATACGATTTTTTGAGATTAGAACCTGGTTGTGGTCATATGCATGAGTGCAACGATCAAACATAACTATGAATTGTGTAACAACTATTGGGCGATAATTTGCCTTGGCCACATACATACCTTTGTCTCGCTCCTCCTGGTTGGTATCAATGCACCAAGCCAAATACCACGTGCCTCTGTTGGCCTCCGCCGCCTCCTTCTCGTACTTCTCCAGCGTACGCGCATCGACCCCACCGGTGATAAACATAATCTGTCCGCCAATAGTACTCTTACCCGCGTCAACATGGCCGATAAATACCAGATTGAGATGCTCAATACCCAGGTCTTGGCGGATCGCCTTCTTCGGCTTGTCCGTGGCCGAGGATGACTGCAGATTGTGCGCCGGTCCGGAAGTCGGGCCCGACTTTTTGCTCTCCTTTTCTTCCTTTTTTTCTTCCTTCTTATCCTCTTTCTTGTCGTCCTTGGTACTGCTCGTGCTGATCACAGCCGGGTTGGACTCCTTCTTGTCCTCCTTCTTAGCCACAGGCTTAGACTCCTGCTGGTCGGGCTTGTCCTGCTTGGGAGGTGCCAGGGCCTTCTCCGGGGCTGGTTGGCGTGGCTGTTCCTGTGGTTCCCTGTACTGCACAGGCTCTTGGTGCTGTTGCTGCGGCGGTTGCTGCTGGTATTGTTGTTGCTGTGGGGGTCTGGACCCATAGTAGCCTCCTCGGCCTCCTCGCTGCGAGCCTCCTTGGTACCCTCCACGACCACCTTGGTTATACTGTTGGTTGCTATTGTACTGCAGGTTGTACTGTTGATTGTTACCCTGGCCCTGGTACTGAAATAACAGACAGTGTTGTTAGAGAAGTTGCAGTCCGCTTATTCGAAATGAAGCGATATGTGTGAACTAAACTTGATAGCGGATCTCCTGCATCAACGCTTGTTTCAGCCAATTGGGTCTTGTATATAAGGAAGCACTTACGTTTGTATAAGTACGTCGATCTGTAAGCCGTCTACAAAGGGCAATATGAAGAACAAATTGGAAAACATACCTGATTATTGCCTTGGTATTGGTTGTATTGGCCTTGATCATACCCCTGTTGAGGTTGGTAGTATTGCTGCTGTGGTGGCTGGTATACGCCACCCGGCACAAACGTACCGGCTCCAGGGTTGAACGACTGCACATTGGGATTGAAACCACCCTGTTGTTGCCGTTGTTGGTAATGTTGCTGATTTTCCCTCTGGCCCTGATTATGAACCCAAAATACACTGAAAGATAAGGACTCCGCTTGATCTTGGTGCGAAAGGCCAATAGATATTAATTGAAGCGCAAGGCTCGATAGTTCATTACCGATGAAAGAGAGCAATACAACAGGGGACAATACAACGCAGCGATAATTCAATAGTAAAATATAATCAATAATATTAACATATACACGCACGCAAATAGGGGCGCTACAGGGATGAAATGCAGTAATATTGTATTGCATCGATCATTTTTCTATACAAACGAGAGATTTTCTGAAGATTAGTTCAACTTCCACAGTAATCGACCGAATATGTCCCGAGTTCGAATAATATATATATATATATATATCAATTTACGCATACACATATGTATATGCATATATAAATATATCTTTATATACATATATATATATATATATATATATATATAACAGATATATATATACAGATATATATATATACAGACATATATATATATACATACATACATACAAACATACATATATATATATGTCCAGATATGTATATATATATATATTTATGCATATGTACATTTATAATTTACATGTATATTTATATGTATATATATATATATACATATATACATAAATATATATACAAACATACACACACATATAAAGATAAAAAGAGAGAGAGAGAGAGATATATATATATATAACAAAAACATACATACACATATAAAGATAAAAAGATATATATTTCTATCAGTAAAACAATATACACCCATTTATATATACAAGCATGTGCGAATACATACAGATACTTTCACTATGACTGTCTGTAACTATACATATAGCTCCAAAAATTACAGTACACACACACAAACAAACATATATAAATACATACACACACACACACATATATATATACATACATACATATCTATATATACATATACATAAATATATATGCATACATATATATGCTTGTATTATACATACATATATGTATATATTTATATATACATGTATACAAACATATATATATATATATATATAAATATATGCATAAAATATATATACTTGTAAAACACACACACGCACATATATATATACTATAAGTATGTGTGTAAGCTTGCAAAATTACATTGATGATCCGCATGAATATATATACATATATATATATATATATATATATATATCTATATCTATAAATATATATATGCATAAATTATATGTACTTGTAATACAGACACATGTTTATATATATATATATAAATATGTATATATATATATAAATAATAAATATATATATATATATATACGTACACACATATACATAAAACTATAACTATAAATGTATGTATACATATATATATGTACACGTNTANATANATATATATATATATATATATATATATATATATATATATATATATATACTATATATATATATATATATACTATAGTATAATAATATATACT